ATCACATTCCTCTGATCTGGCCAGTGGGCCTGAGTATGTCATTCCCACCACAAGGAGGACCCTAGCTGAAGGGCCAAATCAAAAGGGTTATATATAGTTTCAAAGGCTTTTACTTTTACTACGAGTTATACAATTTTTTTAGATCAGGGTCTCACTGTGTTGCCCAGGCTGGGGTGCAGTGGTTTGATCCCAACAATCACGGCTCACAGCAGTCTCGACCTCCCAGGCTCAGGCGATTCTTCCACCTCAGCATCCCAAATAGCTGGGAGTACGGGTATGTGCCACCACACCCGGCTAATTGTTTTATTTTCTGTAGAGATGAGGTCTTGCTATGTTGCCCATGCTGGTCTCTAACTCCTGGGCTCCAGTGCCCCAGCCTATCAAAGTGCTCAGTCTCCCAGGCATGAGCCCCCATACCCAGCCTACCTGATTTTTTTTCAAAACTTTATTATAGAGATGTAGAGTACAAGTCAGGGTTAGGTAATTCAGTAATCTATGTGCAGGTGAAGTTTGTGCCTACAACCAGGCCTCACTTCCCCTGGTTTAGGACCAGGTACCCTTTATGTTGCCATGTACCACCTCCCACCCCCATCCCCATCCCTGCACCTGACTTTTTAAAAGCAAACAATTTATGCAAAGCCTTTGAGGACTTATTAAAGTTAGAAAATCTAGGCTAAGTACGGTGGCTCATGCCTATAATCCCAGCACTTTGGGATGCCAAGGTGAGAGGATTGCTTGAGCCCATGGGTTCGAGACCAACCTGGGCAACTTGGCAAGACCTCATCTCTACAACAAATAAAGAAAATTAGCCGGACATGGTGACACGTGCTGGTAGTTCCAGCTAATTGGAAGGCTGAGGTGGAAGAATCGTCTGAGCCCAGCAGGTCGAGGCTGCGGTGGCCGTGAGTGAGCCACTGCACTCTTACCTGGGCAACAAAGTGAGACTCCAATTTTTAAAAAAAATTAGAAAATCTCAACATTTGGGATATTCCTGATGAGAATAAAGGGAATCAAAGTTGCAGAGGAGTTGGATACACAGGATGTTTAAATCAACTGGGAGGAAGAAGGGGGAAGTGGAGAGAGCTCTGGACAGGAAACATAAGTCAACTACGGCTGCTCAGGGAAGGGCTGCTCTTATGGGCAGGCAGTGCTGCAGGAACCCACCAGGGCAGAAATGCAGAGAGGAACAGCAGGAGGAAGCCATGACCACCCTTAGAACTGGAGGCATAAGGAGAGGAGGACACCTAAGTCCCAAGGAAGCTCCCCTGAAAACACTGCACAGAGCAGGGAGTGGCAGAGACAGGCCCTGAACTCCACCTGCTCCCACTGACGAAGAAGTCCCAGTGGTCATCAATCATTGAGGGGCCCAGGGCCTATACGGATCAGCCCCCAAAGGTGAAAAATGGGTCTGAAGACACACGATGATTATGGTATGGCCCTTCCGTAGAGAAGCTGCTTTGGTTTCCTATAAAATAAAGACTATGGTGCCTGCTATGAGATCAAGAGAGACTGTGTGCCAGCTGCAATTATAGGAGAACTTGCTTGAGTTTAGACAAGGGGTGAACGGGTGCCTGTATATTCTGCCATTAACATTGAACATGTTTCCTCTTTGGCCCTTTTCTGGAATGGGCAGTTTGGATTTCTCAGACCATCCCAAGCATCCAGGACCATTAATCCCTCAGCATACACCACTGACCACTCCCTACTCTTTTATTTCAAAAATGGTCTGGAGATGGAATGCCACCAACTTCCACATCTCCCAGTAGCTCCCAGTCATTCACCTTGGCAGATTTTTAGAGGACACGGAGCCAAGTTCTGGAAAAAAACAAGGCAGGCAAAATCACAGAAGAGTTGACATTCCCATTGAGTGACAGCGTTTATTAAAAGGAAATCTTGCTTTATCCAGGAATTCACTTACACGGAGGTAGCTGCAATAAGAATATCTCTTCCCCATGACAACCCAAAGCAACCAAACCACACCCAAAGCAGAACCCAACAGAATAAGCCAATCTGTGTTGTAGAATGACACTCAGAAGCAGAGAAAAAAATTATAAAACATATATAATGATTGTCTCCTCAGCATTGCATTTGGCCACGTATGTGTTTTTACATAATTTTTTTTCTCTTTTCAAGCTAGCTAAAGAAAATACTCTTGAGTAGGGTTAGTTCTTAAAGCAATAAACAGAAATATATATATATATGTATACATAATAAAATCTAAGATGGATACATGTTAGGCCTGGAAAGGACCATGGGTCCTAATCCTCATTTTGTCCCAGGCAACCCATGACTCTAAAGCGAACACACTGTCAAGGTCACCAGGGTGAGGAGAGGAGCCGAAATCTAAAAAAAAAACCCTCTCTGAACTCCCAGTCCAGTGCTCTTCCCACCCCACTACAGGACATGCATCCAGCTTGTTGTCAACTCCATTACAGCGTAGGACAGCACAATTGTTAGTGTTCATATCGGTCTATCTTTAGGGTGATGGTGCAAGTGTTCTGACTGGTGCCTTCTGTTCTCTGTGCATGGACAATGTTGCTTCCTGCGGCCAGGTTTACAGTGACCAGGAAGAACTGCCCAGAATGAGGGGCAGTTACTTTCTTACAAAGCAACTCAGACATTTACTCCCAAAGTTCTCAGGCTGACCTTTGTCATCTCACATGCTAGTCATGAGTGGGCTGAAGTGTCCTGGGCAGGTTTGTTGGCAGATAGCTAATGATGGCGGAAGCTGCAGGGAAATAACAAACACATTGAGGGCCAAAGAATCCCTGTGAGTTCCAGAGAGCCATGCTTGTCGTGTCCCTAAGAAGACAGAGGTACTCGACTTCCTTGTCTGATTGTTGTCTATCACCCCTTTCCCCTGCTTGAGCTTCAGGAGGGGAAGAATTTTTACCTGTTTGATTCACTGTTGTATTACCAGTGCCAAGGACTTTGCCTGCCATGCAAGGTGCCAAAAAATTTGCTAAATGAATAAATGGCTGAAAGGAGAAATCTCTCCTAGAATAAGTAAACAGAAGTAAGAATCACTCCAGCTGGGATGAAGGTGACGGTGACCCTGCAGAGGTGGAAGAGGGGTTGGCTCTCTGGATCCAGACACCCACCCTGAAACTGGGTTGATCACACTGAACACTGTTGGGTGAGCTCTGTGACTGGGGGGTAGGTAGGATCTCATGACAACTGTCATGGAGTTCTCTGGTCCCCAGGCCTCCTGTCTGTTGGGATATTAGGAGACACTGCTGAGGCAGCTGGACACTGCCATCCCTGCCCCATATGTGTAATCACCTCACAAGGGTCCTCTTCCTGGCCACGTCCCTGTGGCACTGCTTGCCCCATTCCCTGGCCTTGCGGAAGGCCAGCAATGATCAAGCCTGGCCCGTGGGCATGCTTGATGACTATCATAGTACGAGGTGTCCAGGGAAGCCCAGAAGGAAGTGTCTGGATATCTAGCATCCTGCCAATGCTATGCTCCCAGTAATTCTACCCCGAGGCCTCACCCATTCCCAAGTTACCTCATGCCTACTGCTGGCGATGTCCCTTTCTCCCAGGAAGTTGGAAGGAGTCCTCCAGTTTGCAGACACACTTCTGCCTGACTTCTGTTTCTGTCCTTCCTTCCTCGACAAAAGTCTGAGATGCTGCTCAATCCTGCCTCCACATCCCCCGGCTTTCAAGAACTTCTCTGTCTTCCTTCTCACACCCAGCCCCACACCTGCCTGCTGACCTCCTCTCTCCTCTCCCCTTCCCCATGACCTTACCTGATGTCTCCTCCCTCCTCTTCACACCTTAGTCCACGAACCTTCCCTCAATACCCCCCTATTCCCCTATCCCACAAAACCTCACTCTGGGGCCAAGGGAGTACAGTTTGGAGAACTGCTGTGAGAGGAGGGATGAAAGGACCGGTAAGACATGACAAGAGGGTCCCATCCTTCTGGAAACCACATCATTTGTTAAAAAACAAACAAACAAACCCATCGTGTACTAGTCTCCCCACCCCACGTGTATAAGAGGAATTATAATCGGTAACCAGGAATTAGTCTTAGCATGTTTCAGAAATTATAATAAAATTCTAGATAAAATAAGCAACAAAGGCCAGAGTTACAGCCGGTAGATACAAGTGACCATCTGGCTCTCCCTCCGTCAACGAGTCGTTGCCCAGACCGTTGGTTGGAGTTTCCGTTCTCAGTGTCAGCTGTCCATTACCACTACGACTCCTATTTCCAACTCTCATTTCCAATGTGGTCTTTATTCTACTTTCTCCCTCTCCCACTTCTGCTCCTTAATAGTTAAAATAGTAGCTTCACATTTTACGAAAGAATACTCAACATGGATGTGTGACCTTTACAAACAAGCCATACCACAAAGCCTCTGACACTGCAATGGAACAGCATCCGTCCCCAAGGAGGCCTGGTTTAAAATATGTACAACCCGTACATCATTTCCTCCCTTGCACAGTGGCTAGTAAATAATAACTCGCCTTCTGGACCCTTGTTCTCGGCAGCAGGAGGAAGGAGGTGAGAAGGGCAGCGATGTAAATGGTGATGGCAGACAGCAGTGTGGAATAGGGGCTTCAGCCCACCAAAGTGTATTTTCTAAAACACCCCGTGGGTGGTGGCCCCTATTCCGCCGGCATTCCAACATTTTATTTTATTTTTATTTTTATTTTTTTGAGTTGGAGTCTCACTCCGTCGCCCAGACTGGAGTGCAGTGGCCGCTCCCGGCCACCGCAGCCTCGGCCTGCTGGGCTCCAGCGATCCTTCCGCCTCAGCCTTCCGAGTAGCCGGAATTACAGGCATGCGCTACCACACCTAGCTGATTTTTTGATTTATGGTAGAGATGAGGTCTCACTACCCAGGCGGGTCTCGAACCCGCGGGCTCAGGCAATCCACTCACCTCAGCC